TTCTTCAGGAAAATGAGAACTGACATAGAGCTCATGGTAGAAACAGAAAATCATCATTTAATAAATAAAGCAGGTTCAGGAAAGAATTATCATTTCCTGAAGTCTGGAGAAGGGTCAAAGAAATGAGTTCAGGTATCAAATCACCTCTTATTTACAAAAGGAAGAGACATTGTATAATAAAGAACTCTGACCTTGTCCTTTTTGAATGGATACTGAGTTTCACACCACAGTAATGGAGCAAACAGACATTATGTGCCTCTTGTACATATGTTCCTGGAGTAACGAACTGAGGACGGGATTATATGTGGTTCAAGAATGTGATGCAGGACACATCCTCACATGTGTGGATCATGTGTTCCTAACAGAACACATCTTCACATATGCATATCATGTGTCACTAGGGACATGGTATCATTTAGGTATTGTTCCTTTTAAGGTGTTAAATCCAAAGGAACAATCAAACCTCAATTGAACATTTATAAAACTGACCTAAATCAAAAATATCTACATCGGGGGCTGGAGAGATGGCTCAGCAGTTAAGAGCACTGACTGCTCTTGCAGAGGACCTGGGCTCAGCTCCCAGCACCTACATGGTGGCTAACAACCATTCACAACTCCAGTTCTAGGGGAATCCGATACCCTCTTTTGACCTCCTTAGACATTGCATGACTCAGATGCACATACATACATGCAAGCAATACACTCATAAATATAAAATAAAAATAGTAAAATATTTTAAAATATTCACATCAAAGAAAAAATAAAACCAGAGACTATTCTACATAATTTAAAACCTGGTCACTAGAAGCAGCCACAATTTGGGGTTTAAAAAAAAAAAATCACATGTGGTATGAAGGGCAATATTTTATTAGGGAACTCTATGCGGTCCGTGTATTAGATGCAAGTGTTAGAGCACTGCTGTTTCCTGGTTGTGCAAACTAGAAAGAACTGAACCTCCCAGAATGGTGGTTTTAGAGAGAAAGCACCACAGTGACTTGGTCAGGAGCACTCTGCAGGTCCATAAATATGGAGGAGGGGTGCTGTGATAAATGTCAGGCTAAATGCAGTTTCTATCGCTCAGAACACTCATTCATGAATCATGAAAACAGTCCACAACAGCTCAACTGGTCACAAGCAGAGCAGACACACAGAGCAGGACCATTTTCATCAGAGCACGAAGGAGCAATGGTAGGAAAGGCCTGTTGGTTCTCTCGGGGGAGAATCCCCTCCTTGTGCTTTGATGGAGAACAAAACGAGCTCATCTTCCTTGCCCTTCTCTTCAATAATGTCAGTCTGTTAAAGCAGCCACAGAGACAGGGAGAAAAAGCACGCAGGAGAGCACGGAACAGCACTGCCATCCTCCAGGCCTGTGTTCTCGGGCCACCACAAATGAATGTGATTGTCAGTTGGACATAAAGGAGCTCTTGTGTGTTAGTCTTATTGCTACTGTCACCAAACACTCAATAAAAACAACTTAGGACTGTGTGCTGGGCATGGTGGCACAGCATTGTGAGGCAAAGATAGGTGGATCTCTGTGAGTTGAAGGCTAGCCTAGTTTACATAGTGAGTTTCAGGACAACCTATGCTACATAGTGAGCTCCTGTCTCAAAAAATAAAAGCAAACAATAACCTCCCCCCCAAAAAAAAACCCAAAAAGTAATTTAAAGGAAAAGACTTCTTTTGGCTCAGTGTGCCAGAGGGTTCAGTCTTGGGTCACCTGGTGTCACATGCTTGGGCAGAACATCATGTTCACATGGCAGACAGGCTTCCTCACCTCAAAAAAATAAGGAAATCAGAGAGCATGTCTGCTCTGGTGACTTTTTCCTTTTCACCCATGAGATGGTGCTGCACACTTTCACAGTGGCTTTGTTAATCATTTCTGGAAATCCCCCTGAGACGCACTAATTTCCTAAGTGCTTCTCAGTCCAATCAAGGTGACGATCAACTTGAGCCATCACACCTGGACACAGCGGTGATCCCTACTACAGGAGGACCAGCAGAGCAGCAGCCCTTCGGAAGCTGACAGTGAGGAAATATCTGCCTTCAAATTCTAAACTGGCTTGTAAGATGAGAGGGAACAGATACGTGATGTCATCTGAAGATCAACAAACCTGCTGTAACCTGAATGAACATAGGGAGACATGATAAAGTAGAGTGCCCAGCAGAAATAAGCTGGTCAAGAGAGGGGCAAACATCCGGGAAAGGCGAGGGGACTCACAGGTAGAAACAGCAAACTCACACTAGCTGACCCTGAATGCTGTTGCACTAAATTTTCCCCTCCCCTTCTTGAGAGACCCCCCCCCACCCGCACCCTCTGAGGCCTCAGGGCTAACAAACCAACAGAGTAGCTTTTATTTGGGTTTTAGCATGGTTTATATGACGTTCGGGAAAGGGTGCTTACAGAGCATCAGCTCCCATAGTCCATCTTCTACATTTTGACTAAGCTTTGAGATCTTTGCCATGCCCTGCCCAAAGTTCGCCAGGTGTCCGTGCATCATCTCGCCTCTTGAGGTTTGTGCAGGGTTCACAGGGTCCTCAAGGGGTCCATGGTGCCCCTGGGGGCCTATGGTGCCCCACAGGGTCCACAGCAGCCTGGCTCACCAGCTCACCTGCTGGTCCCTGCTCCCCAAATAGTCCCAATTCCTCCTTTTCCCAGTGTGCTCTGCTTCTCTCTAGGTCTCTAGACCCCCCCCCCTTTTCCTCGGAGGATGAATTTGTCCAACAAATACATGCAGCGGCACAGCCCCAGACCTTAAGAAATCCCAGACCCCTTTAGCAGGTACACTTGAGGAATCAGGATTCCTGGACCATGCTAAGCAGCACCACGTGGGACAGGCTCCTGCAAGACATTCTCAGTAAATTCCAACCTCAGACTCAAACCAAGACAATATGTATATGGATTGGCTGTCAGTCATGGGCCCCAGTGGGGCCCTGCTCAGCCTCTTTTCCTTCTTCCATGGTCTCCGCTATGAGCTGAACTGCATTGCATCCTTGCAAAAGCTCATGCTAGGGTCCTACACCCAGACTTCACGATGGTCTCTAAGATGACCCCAGAAAGCATTACTTTCTTCACACACCTGAGACCCGTGTTTAGAAACACAGGAACACTGCAATGAGGGGGGCTCTTGTGTTCTTGACAGGTCTTTAATGGCTATTACCCTGAGGCAGGGGGTGACAGTGGGGAGTGCCACCACTTAAGTCTGTGCCGAGAACTCAATGAACAGAAAGTACACCCAATTCCTCTGACAGGTAGAAGGCCTTGGCTATACAGGTGACAACATCCAAAGACTGGGCAATGGCCACTGGTCATGATCCCCGAGGAACGAAACAGGTGGGTAGCTTGTTATCTTTGCTTCATAGACACACATCTCTAGATCTGGTAAACAGACTTCATTACACCACACCACAGGCCCTCCAGTTTCCAGGATGGAGCCCACCCTCAGACTCAGGACCTCAGAAGTAAAGGGACACTTATTTGCTTCAATCCCTCCTCTAAGGGCTCTGTGATATCTGCCAGGCTCACTGTGGATGACAGGAGGAAACACTCTGAAGTCCTGGGGGTTGTTTGAGTGACAGCTACTAGAGGCTAAGTGGCTAAGTTCTGACCAATGACAGCAGCCCAGCTGGGCTGTGAGCAGTGCCTGCTGGAGCCCAACACTGACTCCCTGACCCACAAAACCAGTTCTAAAGTATGAAATGATGTCATGGTGTAGACCTCTAGAGTCTCCCAATGGCTAATGTGCTGAACACTTGATCCACTGATGGATTTCAAGCTGAATGGACTTTTGGGAAGAGGTAGAAAACTGCAGGAGGCAGGGCCTGGTTGGAGAAGAGGTCACTGGAGTTATACCCTTGAAGGTATGTATTATCTTGCGCCAGCCCCTTGCTCACTCTTTGCTTTCAGGCCTACAAGAGGTGAGCAGCAGTGTTCCACCACACACTCTCCACTGTGATGCTTGGGCCCAGACATGCACTAAGTGACATGGACCCAAGTGACCATGCACTAACACTCAGAAACCTTGAGCCCAAATCAATCATTCCTCCTTTAAGTTGACATTCTAGGGTACTCTAACATGGAAGTAAGGCATCTCCCTTCTAAACAGTAAATCTGAACCAGTACAACCCAAATGGAAGAGTTAAGAGAGCTCGGCTACCTGACTAGCATCATCTGACTACTCAAGAAATAAGAGGAGTCCCGGTCCACGGACTGCCACACTTAAGCAGAAAGTGTCACTTTCCTGGAACCAATCAGTAGAGCCCTGTCTCTGGCCACAGCAGTTTTTCTCTATAGCATCTGCCAGAAGCAGTCTGAGAGGACGGCAGTGTGGCCCATGGCATTGCTATAAAATGAGCTAGAGCTCAGGGCCACTGCTATTTTGCCATTACCAGAACAGCACTATTAATCCATCTGTGACAAACATGAACACAGGAAGCCCTATGAGTTCCAGAATGGGATATAAATGCTCAAGACACTTCCTTGTACTGTCTAGAGGTCGAGGCATGGGAATGCTTAGACACCTTCCCCAAAGGGAAGGACAGCCTCACTTTGTACCCACTGCGACCAAGACAGAGGTTAGACTCAGCCTCTGTGGGGCCACAGAAGCAATGTCACCATTCAGCTCCACAGGAGGCCTGCGGTGACAAGAGGCACAGCAGGCTGCAGTGAGACTGTCCTCCCTCCTGGACCACAGTCCCAACAGGATGCAGGGTAGGTCTGTGGCTGCCTGAATGCTGCAAGAAGCCACCCTGGCCCACAGCATGGAGACTGAAGACTCAAGGGCCAATCCCACCCTCTCGTGTAGCTATCATTGTTTTGAGAAGCAGCTCTTTGCTTTCTGAGCAAACATGGAATCCTGTTCTTCACTATGAAACAGCAGTGGAGCCCAATCCGCCACCAGAGAGGGTGTGTCTGACCTGTCCTGTCAGCACTTCACCATGATACTGAGGTGCTGGATTAGTTACTTTCTGTTGCTGTGATAAAACACCATGACCAAAACAACTTATAGAAGGAAGAGTTTATTTGGTTTATGGTTCAAAGGGTTAGAGTCCAGAACAGCAGGGGAGGCACGGAGGTAGAGGTGGCCAAACAAAAAGCCGAGCCTTCGCATCTTCAAGCGGACACAAGAACCAGATTCACTGGAAAATCTGGCAAGACTTAAGAACTCTCAAAGCCCACCTCCAGCGACCTGCTTCCTTCATCATGGCCACACCTAAAACCTCCCAAACCAGCGCCACCAACTGGGGACAAAATGTCCAAATACTTGGAGCTTACGGGGACACTCTCATTCAGTGTTCTGAAGGCACATGATAAAAGCAGACAGTGCAGTCATCATAGCATCCACACTGCTTCTCTGACACCCTCATGCCACACCTACAGCCTGAGGAGTCTGTGACCATCTACCTGAAGTAAAAGTTAGATCTGATTTCTGCAGACGATGCTGGCACCACCAAAGATGAAGGCTGTAGCAGTTCAGCTCACTCATGTGACTAATTTAGAGCAACGGTGAGGGGCCCTGTCCACCAAGTAAACCCAGTCAGTCATTCTGCCTGGAAGAAGCCGGGGGCATGGAAGTGAATCGCAGGTAAATTTGGCTGGAAGGTTGGCGTCTAGAAAGACCAAGACTGGAAACGGACTGTAAGTGACATGGACTGTGAACCTAGGTGGGAGACGCCTGTGCTCCCACACAGGTGCTCAAGGCTGGCACAGCTGAGCATGCCCTCAGTAATCAGGTCAGACTGCAGTTTTCCTCTGATCACCCTAACTCTCCTTGTCCAATGGGTTCACACTGGCTGTGGTGACAGGGAAGAGATCCAAACGTGGTTTAATCTACAGGGGCTCTAATTCCAAGGCTGGCCCAGTGATGGTTTCTGCTACCTACCAATCTACTGAAAACAGACTAATATGCTTTCTAGAATGAAAAAGGCATTGGGAAGTATAGGCAGCCGCTGGCCATGCCAGCCTCCCACATGGAAGGGTTAATGAGTCCACAGGCTTTGCTGACAGCCTCAAGCATGCACAGCTCACAGCACAGCTTCCCAGTGGCCCATTTCAGGGGTCAGCAATGTGGTCTATGGGCTGTTGATCTCAGTATGTGCTCCACTACTTCAAAGAGCCAGTTGGAGAACTTGGTAAAGAGCCTCATAGAGCCCAGCTGTGGTGCAGGAAGGACAAGGCCTCATGGAGTGAGCTGCTGTGTGTCCACCAGGAAGCAACGTGTGTTCTATGCCACAGTCAACATGTGGTTTTGCCACAGTCAGAGCTCACAGGTTGGGAAAGCAGGAAAAGTTTAAGTGGGAACCTCTAATGAGAACAGTCCTGGATATGCTCCTTCCAGAACAGACCCTCAAAGGCATACAATTATGTGCCACTGTTCTATAGGCTGACAGAGAGCACACATCAGTGAGGTAACAGACAAAGGGAGTGTCAGAACTGCCTCAATGACTACCCCAGCTACCCTGGAGAAGGGCAGCTAACATTGAACAAGGGAAATCAGCATGTCCAGAACCCAAGGTACGCTCAGGGGAAACTTATTTCCATGTTCTGCAATAAGTCAATGGAGACTTACGGTCCCAAACAATGGCCTGAGGAACAGGGCTGAGTTACCCTACCAGCAAAGAACCACCCCCAAGGAGGTGTGCTGAGGTAAAGAACAAGGACTGGGTAATGGGAAAAGACTTTCAAGTATCACTCCCTGCCAGGTCCAGCAGCTCTGGTGTTGTGTCCATGTTCTGATGACATTATATCTGCCACCGGTTCTTTCTTCCACTTCCCATGAGGACAAATAACCATTGATCACAGGCTAAATTGCCACACTACCCAGTACTTGATATTTTCACTCTTTTATCCAGAAGTCGACTTCATGAGGGAGTAGAATCACAAAGGGACAGACAGAATGTGCTGCTGCCCCACAGCACCCCCAAAGTCTCCTCTATAGCCCAGTATGTGTCATAGAAAGTTCTTCCTTGAGTGGCTGCAGGCCATACCCAGACAAGGCTTGGAAGGTGGGAATGAGAAATTATGACCCACTGAGGCCAGTATGGCTAAGTGCATACACACACGCAGGCAGCACAGTTTCCCTAGAGTCCATCAGTGCCCCCAGCTTTGCTGCTGCCAAATATGGTTGACTGTCTTCCCAGATCCCCAGACAACAAATGGCTTTTCAACTCTCGGGACTCAGTGATTTCCTCTCCTTCAACTCTTCAGGGGGCTGCACTCAGCCTCTATGTTGAAAAATTAATTCTGACAATGCTGACTAAAGGCATGTGGCCCATCCCCGATTTGTGACCTCCATCTTCTAGGCTGCTGCTGTTCAATGCTCACCCACAGGATACACACAGGGATATCCTGCCTCCAGGGATAGCTGTAACTAGTCCACACATCCAAATAAGTTTGACCTCCATGCCCCCACAGCTGGACTCTAGCTACAAGGACTGCTGTTAAGAACAGTTGTGCAGCTACCAAGAGCAAAGCCATGTGTTTCCGGGTGACAACTAGGAGCAAAGCACTGACACATCCTCCAATGTACATTATGAGGACATGGAACCAAGCCTGCTGCAGCCACCAAGACCAGCTTCAGGGTCACACTGATAGCAAGCCAGAAAGCTGCAGAGAAGCACAACTTGAGTCCTGATCAGAACGGCTCTGGAACCCATCCCAGCTTTGCAGTTGAAGTCTATTTGTGTTTTCTCCTACAACCAGAAGCATCCTGACTTGCATTTTCATGTTATTTAACTTGTGCATTTCTGGCTAACTGTATTAACATTTGTTTCTTCTCACCAAAAGTCCAAATTTTCAGTAAAACTCCATGTGTAAGACTGATGCTTTCATTCCACTTGTTCTTCTCCAGGCTGGTGCAGGCCACAAGGTTCTCAGTGTATTTTAAGACTGACTTTAAGAACCTGTTAAAAAGACAGGGAGGAATGTTAGTTCCTTTGTCTGTTCCATTATAAAGTGCAGCAAGTATACATTTCTGGTTTTCACTCTTGGAATTACTCCTAAGCATTACTTAATTTTTGTCTGAGAATCAAGAAAGTAAACATATGCAAAATGAAAACAAGAGAGGGACAGAGGAAAAACAAAATGCTGGAAGGCAGACACTGTCAACACTGGGGTGAGTTTCATGGAATCCAAGATCCTTTTCACTCTTGCAGACCCAGACGTGATGTTTCTAAGTGACAGAACACAATTCCAGGAAGATCTGGGGCCGTCTGGCTCTGATTTACCCCAGAAGAGCACGTGATGACAACAGGCCCTGCTTACAGGACCCACTGGGTGCTGAGGCTGGGCGTTCAGCTTCCCTTCACTGTGCTGCCATATTGGTCTCAGGAGACACACCTTGCTATCGTTAAAAACACTTTTCCCTAATGACATTTCTCAAAATGGCAGTGAGTTCTGACTGATTAGAATATCAATTTTACTTTTTCATGTCTCTCCTCAGTTTCCCTAGTGGAACAAACTTGTCCCCAACATTTTATATTGAAAGTTTTTCTAAAGATATGTTAAATGAATGACAATGAAACCCACAGACCTTTGTCTAGGAATTGGCTCTGCTCTGGGGAAGTTTTATTCCTCAGAGGCACTTGGTGATATCACTGAGGAGTATACTAGCACAGGATAGTTAAAGGCAATGGATGCCACTCAGTGCCACACAGAACACAGAGAAGTTATGGCCCAAGCACCCACGATGCTAAGGTCGAGAACCCCAGTCCAGTCACCAGCCCTGCACAGGCCAGCTGCACTTGCCTCAGTTCTATGCTTCCATCCAGGTTCTAGTTTCATTTCTGCTGCTGTGTTGAAATAATCCGACAGAAAGCAGTGTAGGGGAGGAAGGGGTTTATTTGGCTCACAATTTCAGGACACAAACCATAATTGTAGGGAAGTCACAATAGCAGGGGCTTGAGACAAGTGGTCCTATCACAGCCAGTCAAGAGCGGAGAGAAACAAATGTTCCCCTGCTGCCTGCTTAGTACTCAGCTAGCCCATTCTGCTTTTATATAGTTCAGGACCCCAAACCAGGGAACAGTGCCTTCCACAATGGGCTAGGCCTCCTACATCAACTAGTAATTCCCTAACAGGTATGTTCACAGGCCAACCTGATCTAGACAATTCTTCAATGAAATTCTCTTCCCAGATTATTCTAGGTTGTGTCAAGCTGACAGTTAAAACTAACCAGAATAGGGCTGGCAAGGTAGCTTAAGAAGGTAAAACAATTGCCACGCAAGCCTGATGACCCAAGTTCAATTCCTGGAACTCACATAAAGGTGGATGGAGAAAATGGACTCCACAAAGTTGTCCTCCAAAGTTAATTCCACATCCCCCTCTCATACACACACACACACACACACAATTAATAATAATTATATATATATATATATATTATATAAACAAAAAAGCTGGGTGCGGTAGCACAGACCTTTAATCCTAACATTCAGGAGGCTGAAGCAGGTGGATTTCTTATTTGAGTTCCAGGAGTCTGGTCCAAGTAAGACCCTGACTCAAAACAAGCAAACAAATAAACAAAACAGTAAAAAAAAAAAAAAAAAAAAAAAAAAAAAAAAAAAAAAAAAAACCCAAACACCTAAACTAACAAGCACAATTCATGAACACCATACTTCACAATGTACATGAGGTCTACTCCCTGCCAAGTACTGCATAAAATCAGCTAAGATCTGAAGAATTTCTGGGCATGGGTGGAGGCTGTGTCACAGCAGCTCCATCCAACTGAGCACAAGACACATTTGTATAATCCTGCCCGAGGGGTCTCCAGTTCTGGAATCTGCATGTGAAGTAGTCCTCAAAGGGTTTATCCTATTTTCATGTGCCTAGATCTGGATGATCCTGAAAACTGGAATTCCAAACTTTGAAACTACTAGTCACACACAACTAAAGAGGTTAGCTTTGAGTCACTTGGATACGGCAGGGTCTGCCTTGTGGCCCTGACTTCAGGACGTTAAGCAGCTCAGACCACACTGCAGGACCCTCTCCGACACCAGCTCCACTGTCTTCACTCATTCAGACTGCAATTGGGTGCCAGGCTGTAGACTGGTGAGCAGTGAAAGGGTTCACAAATAAATCAGATTCAGTTTTGTGCATTGTGCCTGTATGGGTGTCAGTCTCAAATGTCCAAACTTAGCATAAAACTACAGAGGAGATAAGTTAAGTGTCCATGAGAACCTGTGGGGGCTTAAAAAAAAAAATCACCAAAGAAATAACTAATAGGAGTCAAGATGGCTTATAATTATCTAAACACTGTTTCCTTTCTTTTAAACAGAACATACTTACTTTAGATACTGCTGATATTCCTGAGCACTTTTTCCACAGACAACATGAATGTTGACTAATTCCAGTACAATGAGGAACAAAATCAGGTAAAGCACAGGAGACAGAAGTCTAACACTGAAAATTGATGAAAGCAAGTTAAAATTTGACAGAGCATTTCCTTGCTTTATAAGGAAAACGACGTTCCACCTAACAAACACCTTTCCTGAGCATCGTTAAATGCAAACATCTGAGAAGATAGTTCTCTAGTCTGTGACCCTGATATGACCCAACCCAACCTGACCCAACTTCTACCTTCCAGGCCTGTACAGGTGTGTGAGCCCACACCCTCCCTGCCCTTCATGTACGCAGCACAAAGTGCCTCCACTCCCAGCAGCAGCACCTGCTGCGTCTGGCTTTGCTCTGTTGAAGCCACCCTCCAAAACACCGCCACCAGGTCAGTGGCAGTCTGCTGCCTACATCCCATGTTCTGTGTAACTGCTAGCCCCTTCTTACCAACTCATTCTCAGCGAAGGACTCTCACAGGAAAGAGTGTGCTCAACTCTGCCAGACCCCAAGAAATTCCAATTAAGTCTAGAATTTATGTTTCCCACAGACCAGTAGAGATGCTTAAAAGCACTCAGTTTTTGAGGGATATACTGTAATAGCACTTCTGTATAAACTGCATGAGTATACATCAAGAAACTTCTGGAAGGCAATCTACCATCAATCACTCTAGAAAATATCCACTCAACCTAAAGTTTAGAAACTTGTCCAAAATGGCCATTTCTTAGGGAAATATGAAGGACCCATAGTGTTGGCAAATGCAAGAGAATGTCATATATCCAGACGGTCATTTGGGTGGTAGGGCTCACACTCTCACAGGCACACTTTCAAGGTTTCTATAAAACAGCATATACTGTAACTATTCTCTGAAAGGATCAGAACCCACGCAAACACAAGGATACAGACACACAGACAGACAGACAGACACACACACCACACACACACACAGACACTGTGTGTGGAGGGGGAGGCAGCCCACCTGCTGAGCATGCGCAGATAGTTCTGCCGCTGGCGAGAGTGCAGCTTCCGCTCTACCCACTGCCTGTGCTTCAACTGCAAAGAGGCAACGATCTGGTCAGATGTCCGCTGGCACTGGGAGCTTATGCCTCGGAGGACAACCAGCACTTCCAGAATGATTCTGGGGCAGAACAGGGTGGGAATGTGTGTGCTGCAGAGCTCACTGAGCAGCCAGGGCCACCTGCAAGGGAAAGCACAGCAATCAGAGGACAGGTAACACCAGAGAATGTCACTGCCAGCCCTATATCTGGACCAGCTAAGAGGTCTTCCAGAACAACTGGGACCCCCAAAGTAGGTAACATGTAACTAGAGTAAACACAGTACAAATTATGATGTGTAAACGCACACATGACACTTGTACAGACATTACCAGCCCTTACCTGATAACCCCTCTTGGCACACAATACCAAACTAGGAAAGCGTAGACTGGAGACGCTGCTAGTCTAACTACTCAGTTACGCTTCCTTAGCACTAACCTCTCTGAGGGAAGACCATCCAATCTGCTGACAGCACAGCAACTCCCAGGCACATGGTGACAGAGCTCACACAGAATCTTGCTAATTAAAGAGTCACAGGCACGTGTTTCAGAAGTACCTTCCAATCTGAAGAACACACAATGTTTAAAGGTACATGACAATAATTAAAATGCCTACCCTATTAACTATTCAAAATAATGTTCAATGCACAGCAAACTTAACCTAAAATTCAGTTTTCTCCAAACATAAAATGGAAATAGGTACCATGACAGAGGACGATAAAGGATGCGCTACACTGAAACAGGCACCGTGCAGACCGAAGGCGGTCTGTAGCTTGTGCTGGGTTAGTTCCACTGAGAGCACATCTGCTTTGTTCTATATGCCCCAAACCTGTATCTGCATCCTTCTTCCTCCTGAGTCCATCCACACCCTTCCTGTCTGCTGAGCCTTTGTTGGAGGGTGCCTTATCCTCCCAAGACACCTTCAGTCTACACTCAGCTGCCAACAAACAGGGCACAGCAGTTCCTACTCCAAAGGTCTTCTAACAGCCCTGTTTGAGAAGCAAGGAGAGCACTCTTGGCACTGGCTACAACTGACAGTCATAGTCTATACCACCCAGGTGACACACACCATACCCCAGGTGGTACGTACCTGGCTGCTTCCTGACATGACTCTTCTGGCAAAGGCAGTACAGGCCACATCCTGAGACTTTTTTCACAGCTCAACACCTGGAAGGAAATATTTTGTTGCTGTTAGATATTACAATAATATCCTAGCAAATATGTTTTCATCATGGATGTTAAATCACTTTCTAGAAAGTATTTTATAACCATTACCAATTATACAACATTTGAAAAACAGCATGGTGGACTCAGCATTCCACACACTCAGCCGAGGGACTATTCAAACTACTGGAGGACTGTAGGTCCTTACTGTCAGGGTGATGATAAACATGTCCATAAATCTGACCCCCTCAGTTGAAGGGAGACCTACCTCCCTTACCCTGAATGGGACTAACTTTGGTGATTGGTCTGTGACTGCGAGTACTCGGTACAATTGAGGGAAGGGACCACAGGCCCATCAGCAGCCAGATGAAGCCTCATGATAGATCTTCAGCAAAGTCACCTCTAAATTCTGACCCACAATAATGTGAGCAAATTAAACAGTAGCTGTTGACATCACTGACATAAGCAATTTTCTGCAACAGCAACAACCAGAACAATAACCCTATGAAGCACAGAACGTATGACTGTCACCAAATAGTGAGTAACAGATGTAGAAAATGCTAAGGGTCCAAAACTGCTGTGAGTGTGACCTGGGGTTATAGAAGAGGGCAACATGGAGTATAGGCTGAGGACTTGGCAGTCAGGTCACAGGACAGTCTTGATTTCCAGAAGCTGTCCTTCCTTCTAGAACCTTCCCTTGTGTCCTCCCTCTCTTTAAACCCTGGTCCCTAAGACAAGTTCTGATACTGTTACTCCTGTGATGACACCTTGGAAAGCAGACTCAGGAGGGACAGCTGGCTGTGATGCAAAGGGTGAATGGCGTCAGAATGACACCACCCATGCACCTGTCCCCAAACCAGAACCCACTGGCCACAGGAGGGAGTCTGGCCTTAAAAGCACCAGGCTATCCTTTCTCCACTTCCTCTGCTGCATGCCCCTTCTCTGTTATTTCCTCTTAACTGAAACACCCTGCCTGAGGGAGGTTCCTAAGACTCAGAAAGCACATGAAACTTAAAGATTCCAAAGGTTCCTCCCCAAGTTTATAAAAGCAGAAAACAATGGCTGAGGACTCTCTGGTGCAGCTGGCTGCAGGCATTCGGGGGCTGAAGGAGTACAGGGCCTGCAGGCGTACAGGGGCTACAGGGAGACCCTGTCTCGTACTGCAGCCTTTGCCAGTCATCACCCATGCTGGGGTGGAGTTTTGAGAGAAGCAGCTGCTTAAGTCACTCATGGTCCTGTAAATAACGCTAATAAACTCACTGGTCACTAGGCTAGACTTGGCCAGTGGAATGGTTTCTTTAGTCTGTTGTCAGTGCTCTATCTAGGGAGACTAGACATTTGTTCACATCTCCAGAGGCAAGTCACGCAAGAAATATGTTTGTCATATGACAGCATTGTTAGAGACTTCATCTCAGGCACTGTCTCTCCAGGCCTTTCCCTACACTCACATTCTGATTTACAGTTGCCTTATAAGGGTGCAGTTGCTGACCACTGTCCATGCAGGAGCCATCCTGAGTGTGACATGCATGGGGCCTACCTCTGCCATATACAAAATAAAGGACCTGAGGGCTAGGGAGATGGTTCAGAGGTTAAGAATATGTACCGTGCCAGCACAGTGGCTCACGCCGTTAATCCCAGCACTCAGCACTTGGGAGGCAGAGGCAGGTGGATCTCTGAGTTCAAGGCCAGCCTGGTCTGCATAGTGAGTTCCAGGTCAGCTGGGGCTACAGGGAGACTCTGTCTCTTATTGCTATTCTATAGGGACCCAGTTCAATTTTCAACACCCACATCAGGTGGCTCACAAATGCCTGTAACTTTAGTTCCAGAGGATCTGACACCTCTGATCTCCAAGGGCACCTGACTCACATGTACTCCTGCAGCCCCATACATATAATTTAAAACTAAATCTTAAAAAAAAATGAAGGATCCAAGATAATTGCTAAATTGGAGCTTCCTAGGAGAAATGCTTAAAAGTTTGTTGTTTAACAAAACAAACAAGTTAACAAAAACTGGTCTTCCATAGAAGAAAAAATTACATTGCTTACTTGACAAAACCTGCTCCTCTCCCTGGGTGATGACTAGCACAGCAGCCTACTAGACTCCGTGCTGAACATTCTCTTAGACTAAACCCACCTTTAACTATGAGACACAGCACCTAAGCCACAAGCTCAGGAAGATGGAGCCACTTGACCAAAGCCACAACAGCAAGTGACATTCTGACCATTGTCTGACTGGACAAGGCCTGGGGCCCTTCTGATGTGTCTGCAAGAGGAACAGGGCCACACGCCACCTCTCCCGAACACCCTGGGTACGGCATACCTGCTTTTGAAGCTGGAAAGCTGGGTGGCAGCGGGACCTGTAGCCATTAACAAGGCTAACCAACAACTGCACTACTGCTTCCTCCTAGTTTATAAAAACTGACATTAGTTACTGTGATTTTAGGTTGGGCTTTTTGTCTTCTACTGAATCATAGGTAATTTATAGTCTTAATTTTACCTTATCTTTCCAAATAATTCTATTCACCGAAAACATAGTAAAGCTCTTCATTAAAGTAAGGTGGACCTAGCAGTCAACAACCAATAAAATTATTGAAATGGAGCTGATTAACCACCCTTACTTACGAAGACCACATCCATCCTCTGTCCACAGCAAAATTAAAAATGCACAAGGAGGAAGAGATTCCAAAAACTGGAAAAACTTTAAAGACTAGTGATCAATAGGAGAAGAGAATTACATGATCATAAACTGTTAACTGCTAAACACATAAATATTGAGAAGAGTAAAAATAACATTACGGTACAGTACAGTACAGTGTAGTATACTCCAACAGTTGATATAAACGCAGAACTAGAAAACCCACATCAGTCACTAGGAACTACTGGAAGCCATCAGGAAATCAAGAGTTGGCAAACATTAGAAGCAGAAACTGCCAGGTTCTCAACAGAACAAAGGCCTGAGTGACTACAAGTTAAAAGTGCTGAGGACACGTACTGATCTCTCGTTCACTGACACCTGGGAGCCATGCAATGGGCAGTGTCCTCATGGCGGTGGTCCCAGCAGGGCAGACAGAGACTTCTGGGCAGGGTGGGCATAGGGCACAGCGTAGGCCTGAAAGCCAGAAAAGGGCTCTTGCTTCTGCTCTAAGTCAAGAGTGACTCTGCCTAGAGGAACACAGCGCTCGAAAAGGATCTGGCTGCTGTGTTGAGAAGGGTTTGTGAGAGGAAGGAGACCTGTCAGAGCCAGTGTCCCTCCAGGAAGTCATGGTAGCTTGGCCAATTGGTGCTACTGAATTGACAGAGAATAATAGATTTGAGACATATTTTAAAAACAGAGGACTGAGTATATTATCTGAAGTAGGGAAGGAAGACTTGGGAGTCTCAGCCTCAGAAACCAGTTGCAGGGATGTGGCACTTATGTATCCCAGGCTGGGTTCAAACTCTGTAGCTGAAGATGACTTTCTGATCCTCCTGCTTCTTCCTCCTGAGTGCCAGAATTATAGGTGAGAGCTGCCATAACAGGTATGTGTCACCATACTAAAAGCTCACTCTTTTCTCATTCTACACTTACTGTAATAGTATAGCTCACATGAAATACAAATAATCAGAACAGACTAGAGAATTCTGAAGAGAGAGGAATGGGAGACGAACCTGGAAAGCACTAAACTGCATCAAGAAGCTGCCTTGAGGAGCAGAGCTTCTAGCCAGAGTTCAGGGCTGGAGATAAGCTGCTAGCAATTCCAACAAGAAAACACATGAAGCTAGATTCTCTACCTCACTTCCAAGAGGAACTAAATTCTATTTGGATCAAAAGGTATAAATGGGAAATGAAGAAGCACGAGGAGAATTATATGTTCATAATTTTGGAAAGCAAAGACTAGTTTTCAAGAATGACACCAAAGGAAAAAAGAATCAAAAGGTAAAGACAGTAAGCAACACTTTACTGAAAACTGTAAACACAGCCAGCAAACCAATGGGAAAAATACAAGCAAGCAAAGACATTTTAGAGGAGCTGATGAAAGAATTACAGCTGTAAACAAAAAGGAAAACAAGGTCTTGGGCTGGAGAGATGGCTCAGTGGTTAAAAGCACTGACTGCTCTTACAAAAGACCAGGGTTCAATTCCCAGCACCCACATGGCAGTTAACAACTGTTTGTAACCCCAGTTCCAGGTGATCCGACACCCTTTGCTGACCTCCACAGGCATCGCATGACACAGGTGCACTTACATACATGCAGGCAATGTACTCATAAAAATTAAATAAAAATAATAAAATTGAAAAAAAAAAACCGAGGTCTTACTATTGCCAGTCTTAGAGCTTTGCTTTTACAAATTTACAACATGGGAGCCCAAATGAACAAAGATGTTCATTTCAGCATTATAATGCGAATTTTCCTTATCAGCCAAAGGTACAGCCCACTCATCAATGAAGCCTGGTCCAATAAATGACGGTCTGCTGACACAACGGAGTAACAGACAGCTAACAGTAGGAGCTGGCAGAACAAAGATCCCCAAAATACAAACGAAAACTGCTGCTTACAAGAAAGTACATCTCCGATGAGCCCACTCTGGTATGCCAGGGAAGGACACAGAAGCAAAGACTCCTGCTAACAGTGTCATTTCTGGCACCTGAGACTCTGATGGCCTCTACATTCTGTATTAGTTTTAATCCTGCATAAACTTTTAAACAGTTGTAAAAATAACTGTCATGCATAGAATCTGAAAACATATTAACAACATTAAAATCTAAATATTTTAAAGAACAAATCACCCATTTGATAGATAAAAATACCCTGTTCCACCAACTTAGCAGTCAACCCTAAGTTTCCTGGATTTGGGTAATTGTGTTTTGTAATCTGTTCTCTGGTTTTCAATAACATGATATTAATAAAAACACTGGCAAAGTCTTTAAAGGATTACTTCAAGTATTTCATATTAAATAGCACTGATTTTCATAGAGTCATGTCATCAATTCAGTTATTCTGATGGAGCAGTACTACAACTCAAATAAAAAACAATGACTAACAGGTAATCACACTTGAAAACCAGGACCTCTTCCTCCACTGCAGGAGATTATGGTGGCCTCCCTCCTCCCTCTGTGGTACCTTCAGCTCTGACAGCACCTCCTCCTCGGTGAATCTGAGCAAAAGCACCAGGGAGAAAGCCAGGAGTTGGCTTGCTGCATCTTCCGGAAATTCACATAAATTGACCTCCCCATGGCTTAAACGATCACGTATCCGGGGACCTTCCTGATGGTTCAGGAAATCCCATAGGAATTCCTTTCAGAAAATAAGAGGAGAAAATGTTCTGCTACTGTTCCAAGCAGAGGGACGAGCAAGGGGACGGTCTGAAAATTAAACCAACAAAGACAGCCGCTCCCTCCCCTGATAACACATGCCCAGGGCCTCTCTGAGACTCCACGGAGAAAAGTTCAGAGAGCCACTGACATGGCAGAGAGAGGACGTCTCAGGAATTGAAGGCAGAAAAGAATTATCAGAGTCTTAGTTCCGGTGTCTTGCCATCTGACGGCAGGAAGGGATGTCCAAAGCACACAATAAATAGGAAGCAGAATTCAGATCTGCTCCCAGACAGAAGGAATAGGTAGAAATACCTACTAGATTCTAGAGCAATCATTGTAGTGTCTTCATAAAATATGGAACACCAATCAAAAAATAAGTGTTTCATCTGACACCTAATCTTAAGAGATAGCTGACTACTCCAATGTTTCACAGAGCAAATATAGTCTCTTCTACAGTATAAATACATAGAACCAACACATAAATACTCTTGAGAGGGCAGCTAAGTCATCAGGCCTTCAAAGAGCACTGTAGGTACAGGAAAAAACAAGGCACTGTGCTACCACTGGAGTCACCCTGGATGAGCACCTATGACAGGATAAGGTGACAGAAGCCAGCAGCGAGTCAACTCTGTTCCCAAGTGCACCATAAACCATGCTCACATCCTAGACAGTTGCCAGCATGTCCACAAACACAAAGACACAAGCCTGGAGATACCCAATATTTACCATGGCAGGTTCTCCGAGGACAAGAGGAACCTGGTTGATGCTGCCATCATTCAAGTGTTTTGCCAGTATCTACAACACCGAAAATAGATCAATCACTATGCTGTTAAACTGGCATGCATGCATCCCTGACACATACAGTCACATACCCACACAGACACCGATGTGTATATGCACACATACAATTAGAACACATGCATTTCTAAGCTGTTACACAGGCTGAGAATAGTGGCTGCTGCTCTTGAGTGCACATGCTCACATACGGATGTGCACACACCACGTACATGTGTGTGGAGGCCTATAGTCCACACTGGTTGTCTTCCTCAATCGTTCTCCACCTTGTTTTTTGAGAAACGATCTCTCACTGAACCCAGAGCTCATCAATTCGGCTGGACTGGCTGGCCAGGGAGCACCATAAATCCTCCTGTCTCTCCTTCGCCAGCACTAGGGTTCCAGGGACATGCTGCTGTGCCTGGCTTTTTACATGAGTATAGGGGAAGAACCTGAACTCATGTCTTCATGTTTGTGTGGCAAGTACTTTAAAATCAACTGCACCATCTCCCCAGACCCACTGTGTTTTTAAGACGATCCTTATCTCAGTGGTTTGTTTGGAACTAATATAAACTATGACACTAAAGCTAATGCAGCCTTCAACTAGAAGTTGTGTGTGTGTGCGTGCATGTGTGTGTGTGGTCATTTCAAAAGTCACTTCTCAACTCAGTGTGGACTTTGGAACTTGACTGCCCTGACCCAATCCTAGAGCCCTAACCCTGTGCAGATCTGATGACAGTTACATTATCAAACGTATCGTGTGTTGCAATAATAGATACAGTTTACCAATGGAACATGCCCTGCAGGTAGGCAGACTTTTAACTCCTCACTACAGGTCACATAAGAGTCAAACAGTCATCTTAAAGACAGAGTGAACTAAGTGCTAAGAGATGTACTCATGCCTCCATGGTCTCTCCCGGACAGGCTAACTATACTGTCAGTTGAGGTGCCCAAGAATCTCAGCCCAGGATTACACATACTTTGCAGGTGATGTAGATATGTGCAGATGTAATGGTCACAATTCTGGGTTTTCATTCTTAGAACCACACCCCCAATAAGCACACAAGTGCACAGGAATATGCTAAACACATCCAGTAGCAGCTGAGGAACATTCCAAATACAAAAGGGTCATCAACCCCAAACCTAAAACAGGAACCTCTAAATAGTCAATGGTGTCAAGCTGTTTGCATTTTCTTTGTTTTTGTGTAACCATAGTAATAAGAGCAGTAATACTGGGTTTCAAAATTAACTGGAAAGCTGTATATAAATGTATTTATTTATTTGAAATGGGGTTGGTTTCAAATCTTGCCTCTACCCCATAAATGCTGGGATTACAGTGTGTGCTGCCACCATGCCCGGTTTATTTGGTATTGGAGATGGAACCCAGGATTTCACGTAGGTCACGAAAGCACTCTGTCAACTGAGCTACAGCCCCAGCCCTGTGTTTAAATCTATTACGATCCTTTTGCCTGTTACTACTAAGCATGCTGTTTATAGTCTTTATGTTTCCATCATGTTAGAGGATGTTTTGATTGGTATTCTTTATAATTTTAACTACTTACTTCATCAAAGGTGGTATAAGGAGTTGCTGACTGCAGAAAGGGAAGAAAAGAAAAAAAATTAAACAGAGTAATATCAAAGTCAAAACCAGCCCCAGTTGTGACATGTGCTGCTACTTCCACGAAATCATGAAGTTTAAAGGACAACTGGGAACACAGAACCACCTGATGGATAAGAGCAAATAAAATGTGGTATTCTTCAAAGTGTGTGTATGTGGGGGGGATGTATGTGTGTTGCAAGGGATTAAACCCAGGGCCTTGCACATGGTAGGCAAGTACTTAGCCAGTTGGCTACAGCTCTAGCCCTCAAATAGCCACAGAAAGTTGTCAATGCAGTAAGAACAGTCACAGTAACAGAAGCACGTTACCTCAGCAGTGAGGAGTCTATCTGGACATTTGTTAACTGCAGTAAACACTCTCCTGAGTCCAGTCTCCAGCTGTGACAGCAACAGTATTGTACAGTCAGCAAACCTGTGGAACCCACAGCAATCAACAGATGCCACAAGAGATACAGTGCAGATACCACTAACGTGGGGTTAACAGCAGGAGGGCAAGAAGTTATAGAACTTGCTAATGTGAGAAAAACAATATAATGACTTTAAAACCTTTTTTTTTTTTTTTTTTGGCACTTTAATGTTTGATGAAATGTTTTTAGTAGCTTTAGAACAAAAAAGTCATCAGAGACCTACATATCAGCTCTGAGAGCTACTGGAACATAAGACTTCAGGGGCAGCTGGGGCACAAAAACACATGCATCGGGTGAGGCTGCCTGAGGAAAAAGCAGACCAACTAGCTGGTCCTCCAGACTCTGCCTCTCTAAAACGTGCCTGGCTTTCACAAAGGTTTCCTTTGAGGGCACATGATGGCTACGTTTACCTGTCTTTGGGCCAAGATTCTCTAATGCTGAACTCGGCGCTCCTCTTACAGGGAGAACTCAGAAGAATATTAAGAAAGTTATTCTACAAAACAGTCCTATCACTTGTACCAAGAGAATAACCCTTAACATTTGAAACAGTCAGGGCTGTCTCCTAAGTAATTGCAGGAAGATATTTAGTGTTCAGCCCACTCTGAGTCAGCCCCATCTCTGAGCACTCTACCAGGACAGTAAAAACACTGGACAGTGCAGAGTGTTGAAAAGGCTTGGCCTCTACCCATCAAAAGCCGATACCATGCCATCCTTGTTACCTGTGTACCTTGAATTTGACCACTGCCAGTTCCCAGTATGGTAACATGATTTTCAAAATCATGGCAGATTTCTTCATCACGTTCTCTACTAGAGAAAGTACCTCATTTGTAACAGCTGCAAAAGAGCAAGCATAAACACAATCAGAGACAGCTGAAAACAAGCTAGCAGCACATCTGGGAGACATACCAGTAAGTCAACACCCCGAGGCAGATGAAGTGTGACTTGGGCAAAGCACCCCTAAAAAGGAAGAGCACCTGGCCTACAGCCTCAGGAAGCCTACAGAGTGGAGAAATGGGCAACTGACTCTTTTCAGGAAACTGGGCATCAGTTGCTAGCAGGGTTCAGGGTGTCCCAGGTGAGCACACTGACCAAGGAAGGCAAATGTATTCTCAGACGACACAGGCAACCCTTTACACTGCTGGCGTGCTGGCACAATGGTGAGCACAAAGCAGTGAGGTGACAGAGGAACAAATGCCATGAATGGCCCCAAGCCATAGTGAATGGCAGCACATCTGAGGAGCACACCAACTCCAGCTGTGACCCTCAGGGTCCCCACCAATGCCCCAGGGCAGTGGGAAGGGGTGAAGCCTTAACACGTCTTCAAGCAACTCACAGAGCCATCTGCCACTAGAGTAAGTACTTTACCAAGAGCTCAAGTCTGATGCTTCTTACTAATGCTCCTTACTAACTACTAACGCTCCTTACTAACTACTAATGCTCTTTACTAACGGTGCAAATACCTTCATGAAGACACATTAAGGGGCCCGTGTGAAATGTAACACTTGCCAGGAAAAACAATCAAATCCTCTAAGTTTGTAAGAGTGATCAAAGGTCGATGTGCCAATGTGACTTTCATTTGGTGAAGGTAGCTCTTCAGTAACTGACCCAATCCTGCTGTCAACACCAACATGGATGAACAGTATCTAGGGGAGAAGACCAGATCTGTTAGAAAATGAACTCAGCCTCAACCAGACACATAAAAACTTTACTTAAGCCTGCCACATGGGAGCGTTAGGCTGCCCATTCCTTCGCAGTTGCACCAAGCCCACCGAGGAGCGCCACGAGCAAGGGCCACCCTCCGGAGCGGAAGAAATTTATGGACAAAAAGTTATCATTGAAGTTAAATGGTGAGACATGTCCAAGGAGTACTGCGGAGCTTTGATCCCGTTACGAATCTTGTAATCGATGAGTGTGTGGTGATGGCAACTAGTAGGCAGCAGAATAACACTGGAATGGTGGTCATACAAGGAAACATATCATCATCATATTAGAAGCCTTGGAACAACTTTAAACAATGGCTGTTCAGCAGAGCAGTCCATGTTCCCTCCCCAAAGGGCCTGTTTTACTGTAATGTAAAACAGGTAGTGTACATTTTCATATGAAAGTTTTTGCTAAGTAAATTTCTGTAGTACTCAAAAAAAAAAAAAAAAAAAAAAAAAAAAACCTTATTTAAAAATTAAAGAAAAAAATACAAAAGAGGGGACTGGAGAGATAGCTCAGCGGTTAAGAGCACTGACTGCTCTTGCAAAGGACCCGGGGTTTGATTCCCAACATCCACATGGCAGCTATGAACCATCTTCAACTCTAGTTCCAGGGGAATCCAAAGCCCTCTTCTGACCTCCGCTGGCATTGCATGACACGGGTGCACTCAGTTACATGTAGGCAGTACACTCGTACACATAAAATAAAAATAATAAAATAAATAAACGAAAGTATGGTTAGCAGTCAGGTATGGTAGTAACATTCCATTAATTCCAGCACTTGGAAGGCAGAGGCAAGCGGATCTCTGAGATCAAGGTCAGGCTGGTTCACACACTTATGGAGTTCCAGGCTAGCTGGGGCTACAGGGAGACCCTGTTTCAAAAAATTCAAAAAAGAAAGAAAAAAAAGCTTAGCGATGGTCCCACTGGGAAAGGTACCTACCACCAAACTTGACAACCTCGGTTCCGTCCCTAGAACATACATGGTGAAAAAAGAGAACCAACTCCTAAAAGCTGTCCTCTGACTTCCACACGTGTGTCATGGAATGTATGTGCATTCCATGTATGCACATAAACAAAATAAAAAGGTTTTTTTTGTTTTTTTTTTTATTAAGAAAGAAAAACACCATCAACTTTCAGGCTTCTCCATAGATGGTTAAGCCATGCAGTGGCTGGGAAGGGCACTGATATCTCAAAACTCCTGGATTTTCTGACCACCAGGCTTCTTACTGTTCCCACATGCTTATATAGACCTCCTGGGGTACAAGGTATCACACACATTGGGTCCCACTCTATTTACTCTGCTACAAATGTGCATGGTAACCTTCCCTGTCTCCAAATCTCTCATCTTTCCCTCTTGTGAAATTCAAGATAAAGCAAACTCTTAAGTGGATTAAGGAAGAAAGTTAGTTCAGCAACTTACTTGGGAGGGATGTCCTGAGGGGATGCAAAGCCATGCCACAAGACGTTGCGAAGATTGAGTCCACACGGAGAGCCAATGAAGATTTTCAGAACGTCCATCTAAACCCATTAAGACATCAGATTACTGAATGACTGTTTGCTTAACACCTCACATCAGAGGTCCCTGGGATCTGAACATAACAGAAAGTGATGGGTACAAACTGTACCAGGTTGTATGGGCCCATGAGGTGAAAAGAGGACAGCAGTTACAGCCAAGCCATGTCCAAGTCCTGTGCCTCCACCTCCTGACCTGAACTCATGGCTCAGGAGTTTCCAGCCCTCTCTGTAAAGAGCAGGCATAACAAAGAACAGACTCAACAGGGTCAGCAATCCCATTTCCAGAACCCCATCCCTCATGTGAACAACCATACTTTAGAATTCTAGAAATACACAGAAAAACAAGCTGCTCAGAAACTAAAGCAACAGAAAACCTCAGCGAGCGAGCGAGCGAGCGAGCAGTCAGTCTAAACAATCAGAAATATGTAATCGGTGGCCAAGAAAATCATCTAGAGGTTAAAAATGTTCATGAGTGGGCTGGAGAGATGGCTCAGAGGTTAAGAATACTTGCTGTTCTTCCAGAGGACCCAGGTTCAATTCCTAGCACCCACATGGTAGCTAAGGACAAAGTATCCGTAACTCCTGTTCCAGGGGATCAACACCCTCTTCTGGCCTCTGCAGGCATTGCACACACGTGGTGCACTTACGCACATGCAGGCAAAACACTCAGACACATAAAATAAAAACAAATAAAATATTTTTTAAATGCTCATCGGGACTGGAGAGATGGCTCAGCGGTTAAAACCACTGTCTGCTCTTGCAGAAGATCTGGGTTCAAGTCCCAGCACCCACATGGCAGCTAATAATCTGTAATCCAGTTCCAGGGGATTTGATGCCTTCTTCTGATCTCTGTGGGCACGGTATGACCCAGGTACACATACATACATGCAGGTAACACACTTACACACATAAAATAAAAGTAAAAAAGCTCATCAGGAAGAAAATGGCTAGCAGGGAGAAGCAAAGAGCAGACTGTGTTTAATGATCCAGTGTAATGACTAGAGGCCACACTCCAGCCTCATTCCCCCAAGGAAATGATCTTCAGGCTGGTAATGAAAGGTAAAATGGGAGGGCTTCACTGAAGGCAGATTCTTAGACTCTCTAGTGAGTTTGCTGCTCTTTGGTTGGGCCAGCACAGCTTCTCTGGACCTCTGCAGCTTGGCCTGCCTTACTGAGCTGCCTGCAGGTCGCCCTTCAATCTGTAATCTCTTCATTACAGGCGCTCTAGAACATTCTGAGAGGTATATAGCTCTCTATGGTTCCTTACCAATATCTAATTCTATCACTCTAAGTTTGAATGACTGAAAGCATATACATTCCTGATAAAAACACTGATGTTTTAGGGTGAAAGTGTAATACCATCCTTTTAAAGGGCTGAAAATACTCTGCATTGATTTGGTGTTGCTATTATGAATACATAACTGCTCAAATGGTATGTTTCTAACTATCCCTCTGGCTGGACCCCAAGGGTTATTATATCACCATCAGTTCAGGGAGAGAGTGTCTGTGGGGACAATCCTGGAAGTAAGGGAAAGAGAAAGAATGGTCTTCAGTCCTTGAGCTGGTTCCTGTTTTTCTAGCATGGTATCAGTATGGAAGAACAAAAGCACAGCTTAAGCCACCTGTGCTATGCTGTGCACATTCTTCACATCAGAGGAGCACACTTACCACAGGACGCCCAAAGACTTGAGCAAGCTCTGCAGATGCAAGGAGGTCTCTGAGAAGAAAGGGGCACTCCTTCCCAATCAGTAAAAATACCTAAAATTCAAACGGGAATCACATGATTATGTTATAATGAAGCAAATGATGTCAAAAAGGAGCACTAGCCATGTATCCACCCCCAGCACTGGGGTTTCGGGACGATGCATGTGCAGCCGTGCTCAGCTTTCCTTTTTCTCTGACATGAGTGCTGGGATCTAAACAGAGCCTCATGCCTCCCAGCAAGTACTCTTACCCATTGGGCCAGCTTCCAGCCCCCAGATCCTGTGATTTCTTAATCATCCAAAATGAAAATCATTGTTTTACAGAAAAACAAGAATGGAAATCAAGAAATCTGGGGCTGGAGAGGTGGTTCAGCCCACTAAGAGCATTGGCTGCTTTTCCAGAGGACCTGGGTTCAGTTACCAGTACCCCACACGGTAACTAACAACCATCTGAAACTCCAGTTCCAAGGAATCTGATGCCCTCTTCTGGCCTCCACAGGTCTGTACGCACATGGTGCATGTACCCATATACAGAGAAAAGGCTCATACACATAAAAATAATAATAAATCAAAAAACAGAAAGAAACCTGAGGCTTTAGTGCTCACCCAGGTAACCTAACAGACCAACAAAGAAGGTTCCCACTCACATCGCCTAAGGCTCGTTCCAGACATGAGGCCAGTTTCATCATGCCAAGGGCGATGGAAGGCAAGTGTAGGCTTTCCAAGGCAGCAAAGATTTCAGGAAGCAGCTATTCAGAGTCAGACACAATTAATTAAGAGTTCATAATCAATAAAAAAATATTTTGCAAAACAATACTATTACTGAAGCTCAAGACTCTTAAAATTTTAACTGCTACATTTACATTTTTGGTATAAAGTTTCTTATTAAATATGATGCCTAAAGAATAAAAAGTTAGTATCTAAGGAGTTCTTTGAAAGTTCTCTAAGTGTTTGCTCAAAGTATAATTATGAATTGAAGCCAAATATTTTGACCTACTTCTTATTTCCTGTTGAGCTAGCTTAATTCCTCTATTAGACAAACATAAGGTAGCTCTAGCTCACCTTGCAACTTGAAGAGCTATTAGGGAGAAGGAATGATTCACCTACTCTAAAGTAATGTTTTAGAATTAGACAAGTTTCAGTCACTGTTTTATTATGGTTATTTAACATGTCAAATGAAAAGAGTTAAAGAGCAAAGCAAACCAAACAAGATTTGGGTTAGGCCCCAAAGACGTAGCAGTTTTCAATTTACTGCTAGGAACCAAGCACCCTCCTCTTTGGCTCCTTTATCGTCTCTCCTGCAGCTCTGTCCTGCTGGAGTGAATTTTTTTTTTTCCAGTCTCAGAAGAAGCATTTCTCTATCAAGCACGATCTTCCCAATACCTGATCTACAAGAGAGTCCAAAAGTAAATCAAAATGTTGTGTTCCTCAACTCAGGCTTTGGAGGCTAAGTATAATTACTCCAATTTTGAGACTTCTTCGATGCTAGAAGACCAGAGATGAAGATGACACCCTTAAAGCTGGCAAGTAATGAGGATTTTGAAGTGCTATTTGCAAAGTCTTTTATTTCTAAAGGTGTATAAATGCCAAACCTCTGGAAAACTTGTCCACTGGAACCACGGCGCATACTGAATTTCAAGCTGCTCCCTGGTCAGAGATAAGATATACAGATGGACGGCTTCACAGACAGGGCCTAACTGCTGTATACTTTCCCAGTAATCCAGGCTCTGACCTTAAACAATGATAAAGTAAGTTTCAATACCACAGCTCCATGTCACATGATAAATGTCTAAATCAAAGAAAAAGTGCTTTAATTGGGAAATTTTCATAAAAATCAATCAGCTTATAATTGAACATATGAGAACTATATTTACATAATTAAAAATAAGGCTGGGTGTGGTGGTGCATGCCTTTAATCCCAGCACTCAGAAGGCAGAGGTGAGTTCAAGGCCAGTCTGGTCTACATAGTGGTCAGCTTCAGTACAGGGAGACCTGCCTCAAAAAGACCAAAAAAGAAATTATACGACTGAACTCATAAAAGGTTGTATCAGTAAAGAATGTGTAAAATACAGCAAAAACTCAAATGGAGAAGAACATCGTATTTAATGTCATTATCTTCATGCATGTTTACATGAAATCACATTCACACTGTACAGATCAGTGTCCCCTTAGCAGGAGCTTTAGTGACTCAGAGTCAACTACAAAAAACCCAACCAACTAACCAACCAACCAACCAGCCACTAAATGGGGGCTGGAGAGATGGCTTGGCTCAGAAGTTAAAAGCACTTAACTATTCTTGAAGAGGACCCAAGCTGTTCCCAGCACTCATATGGTGAACTCATAACCGCCTATAATTCCAGTTCCAAGGTATGATGTCCTCTTCTAGCCTCTGGGCACACCAAGCACACACACACACACACACACACACACACACACACACACACACACACAGAGTACACATACATGCAAGCCAAACACTCTTACATATAAATTTTAAATTTTATGTGTATGAGTGTGTATGAGTGTATTGTCTGCATGTGAGTGCGCCCGTGTTGTGTAATGCTGCAGAGGTCAGAAGAGGGCTTTGGATTCCCCTGTAACTGGAGTTAAGTATGGTTCTTGTAGCCGCCATGTGGGTGCTGGGAATCAAACCCAGGTCTTCTGCAGGAGCAGTCAGTGCTCTAAACTGCCGAGCCATCTCTCCAGCCCCATAAATTTTATTTTAAAAAGAAGAAAATTTCCAGAAATAAACAATTCACACTGTCAACAAGGTGCTGTTCTGAGTAACACAATGCAATTTTGCCCTCCCCACTCTATCTTGTCCTTTAACCAGAGTATCTATATTGTACATACCATCTACCCACTAGCCATTTAGCCTTTTATTATCATATCAATTGTTGCACTTGTATTCAAATGGCCCTTATTCTAGGCCATCTGGGGAGGCGGCTCAGCAGTTAAAGCACTTGCCATTCAAGCAAGAAGACCAGGGTATAGACACTCAGAAGCCACGTAAATGCTAGGCAGGACAGAACGGCAGCTCCCCTGATTCCAGCGTCAGGCTTCTTAGAAAGGGGATCCCCAGAGCTAACTGCCTAGTGAGATGGACCTATCTGCAAGTGAGAGACCTCATCTCAAAAAAAGTTAGAGTGATGAGGGAGATTCCTGATAGCAACCTTAATCCCCCACACATGTGCACTCACTCCACCCACACACGTGAACACACACACACACCCCACATACATGTAAAAATAAATGATCCTTATTTAATGACTCTCAACTGTACTACTCTTAATTCACAGGCCTTTAAAAATTATTTCTATTTATGTGTATGTGCGAATGTATGCCATGTGTGGATGGGCACACAGGGAGGACATAAAAGAGCATCAGATCCCTTCGGAGCTGGAGTTACAAGTATTTGTCACCCTCCGCCCTCACACACTCGCACATGCTGGAACCAATTCTGGGTCTTCTAGCTAAGAGCAGAGTGCTCTTAACCACTGAGTCATCTCTCTATCACCAAGTCACAGGATTTCTACACAGCATTCCAGGGCCCTGAGCAATATTCTGGAATTCTATCACCCCAGTCTGCTCCTGGTCTCTGCTCAAACACAATTTTCTTAACTCAGAATCTTTTAGCTTTCTATACTTCACTGGCTCATCTTTTCACTGGTTCTTTTTCTCCTTTAAGAATGCATTATAACATCCTCTAAGGGGGTGGGCGGGGGGAATCAAGGAGCTTTTATAGGCCAAGACATTTTCAGTGGAACAGTGCTATCTGAAGTGTGGGGTACAAAGACAGTACAAACCTGATTCTGTATAGCTCACACAATCTGTGATTGTTTTCCAGCATACTTCACCATTCTGAGTCACAATGCTATTGATATCACACTTTTCTCTGAGTTCAAACCCAAGGTTACAAATCATGTCATGCACTACAGGAGAAAGGCATGTGGTAATGGGATCCCCTATTAAAATCTGAAATATAAAACATAAAAAGCAGTTATAGCCACATCAAAAAAAAAATCCTATCTTAAATATAGACAGTACTAAAGTAAGGTTGCTGTTAACATGCTTTCTGGACACCATAACAGCTGAACGTGTAAAACACAGAGACTAAACAAGGATTTTTTAGGAGACTTTTAAAGCCCATGTTGAAAGATGGGAACTGTTTTATTATCACACTTGCTGACACTGGAGTTCACAGAGGCACAGTATATTTTCTAAATAATGCATTATTCCTTCTGGCATCCTTTATTATACTACGGTTGTCAAAACCAGTAATTCTTTTCTTTTAAATATTTTATTTTTTATGACTAGGAATGCAACGTCTGCATGTATGTAAGCGCACCCGTGTCATGCAATGCCCACGGAGGTCAGACGAGGGCGTCGGATTCCCCGGAACGAGTTTCCCACGGTTGTTAGTCGCCATGTGGGTGCCAGGGATTGAACCCGGGTCCTCCGCAAGAACAGTGTTCTTAACCGCTGAGCCAAGTATTCAACCCAGAAAAAGTAATTCCAGGACAGAATATGGAGCATCTCTTTGTCCCCGGATGAAGTACCGTCGCTGGCCCATAATCACCGAGTAGGCTGTGGAATGACGGACTCCTTTAGCCCAGAGCTGACACAGCCTTCCTCCTTTCTCTAATCCCTACCCCCAAAGCACTGTCCTCTACCCAGCTTTCCCTGGAGTAAGGGCACGCACGCTTCCGGGAGCCTAGACGCAGGCGGCTCAGGGAAGCACCTCCCGCTCCAGGCCCGGCTGCTAGCCAGACGCCACTGCAGCGCAGCCGGCCGGACTCTCGGGGGTCCCGGACGGCGACAAGGCCAGGACGCCGGCCGCGCACCCGGCGAGCAGATGCCGCCTCGCCTGGCTGCAGGCGTCCGAGGGATGGTCACGGCGGCCGCGGGGACCGGGCCCCAGCGCACGGCTCCCCACAGCCCAGACGCGTACCGTCCAGGCTGGATGCCCTACCTCCATCGCCTCCGGCTCGGACCGCGGCGTTCGCCGATGACGCAAGCTTTCCGCCCCGACTTCCGGGTGCGCGCGGCGCGGGGCGTGGCTTCGGGCGGTGCCGCGCAGGCGCGAAGCTTCAGAAGCGGCGTTGGCGTCTGCTCGCAGGCGGCGGCGAGGCTGCGTCGTCCTGAACCGAGGCCATGGATCGGCGAGGCGGAGCCGGGACGGCACCCTCCAGACAGGCGCCTCATCACTCGCCGGCGTCCAGGAGAGATCGGAAGCCCAGCATGTTCGAGAAGGAGGCAGTGAGTGCGGGCCGAGGGCCGAGGCGGCGCTCCCACCCTCCATAGCTGTCCTCGCCTCCGGTTCCCCGCGCCGCTGCCCGCCGCCTTCCCTTTGGCTGGATGGCTCTGGGTGCGAGTCACGCCCTGTTCGGGTGGATCCACGCGCTTTAGACGCCGAGCAGTACCTTAAAGTGACACGGCCCCACGTTGACCGAAGGAAAGGTTGCCCACGGTCATCCGTTCTTTTCACACGCAGCTGACAGAGTTCCAGTAATCAGTAACCGTACTGAGTTTTCTAAACCTGTGCGGTTTTAGTATACGTTCCGACACACGTTGACAGTCAAGTGTGTAGCGTGCATTTATATATATTATATAGACATATATAGGAAGAAAAACTGACATACCAAGCAGAACAAGATGTTTTGAGTTTTTAAGATTAACAGTGTCGGTATTTGAAGAATATGTACAGGAGGAAACAGTTGGAAATATTTTAGTCATTTGTCTGATATTAATGGAAAAGGTAACTACCCAATTTTACTGGTAGAACAGAGGCATTTCTATGTGATTGTACTTCGAAAGCCGTTAATGTAATCAAGGCTATTGAGACATTTAGAGGAAACAATTTGCCCACGGATGCAGCATGTGCTAGAGCTGACACTAGGCTTTGTTTCTGGGTTACCTGGTGGGTGTTTTCATCCGTTCTTTCTGGGATCCGTGAGTGATTGGTAGGATGACTATAGAAATAACAGTGAAGACAGATTGAAAACAGTAAAATAGTTCAAGATTATTCCGAAGTACACTAAAATATTTTAAGTGATGACATCATTTCAGGTTCTAACATCTCTTCATTATCAATGTTTTACAGAGGAAAGAACTGATGGGGAAAAAGTAGGCATGCCAAGTTCCCACACCTAGGAGAAAAGAGGAGGAAGCCACTAGGAACAAGTCTAGCTGGTTCCAGACACTATGCTGTAATAGTTTGAGCTACCAAGAGTAAATAAAAATGTCTGTATTTTGAGACAGACGGGTGGCATCAATGAATTTACTGCCTGTCATGAAAGTTGAGTGAGCCTGGATTCTAAATGAACATAATGTATGTAGTAAAATCTGGAAGCAAGGGGACATGGGCCAAGGCTGTGTATTAACCATGTGGAGCTTAGAATCGTGTCTTCTGAAAGTAAGAAACTTGATAGGCTAGTAACTAAGAAGAAGGATCACAGACTCCCTGCACATGCTGAATGTCATTTTTAACTTTCAAGAGGCCAGTAGTTCCTGTATTTCTGAGAATATGAAAAATTAGGACTCAGTTGAAACAATGAGTGTCTCTTGATTATTGTCTGTCCTGCATCCAGTTCTTTTCTCTAGTGGTAGGATTTTAATTCTCTGAGAAAAGTAGAGTTTTGGTGGGTTTGGTGGCTACTTAAACTGTAGGAGAATGAAACCCAAATTGGGCTAATTTAATGAGCTGTGGCATAATACAAAGAAAAGGCTTGAGGGCTGGAGAGATGGCTCAGCAGTTAAGAGCACTGGCTGCTCTTCCAGGGAACCTGACCTTGGTTCCTAGCACCCACATGGTGGCTGGCAACCATCTGTAACTCCAGTTCCAGGGGTTCCGACACCACCTTCTGATCTCCCTGGGCATTGCAGGATACAAATACACTTACATACATACAGGCAATACTTTTGAACACATAAAATAAAAACATACTACGTATTTTTTAAAGACCAGAAATGTCTTGAGGTTTATTTTAATGGAAGATGCTCACTTCATGTGTCTTCTGAGTCAGTTCTTGAGTGTCATCTTCCTGCCTTGAGTTACTCCATCTTCCAGTAATATTTCTGCTTAACATGAGTTAGGTCCTATTGCTTGCAACCAAAGGTTACAAAACCTTAAGCAGACAACTAAAAATTAGAAACTTGGTCAGTTTTGTTCATGCATATGTATTTGAAAACCATTAGCAAATAGTGCTTAGACACTAATATCATTGAAATGACATAATTTTATTATTGTTTATTTCATTAAGCTCCATGTAAATAAATACCACGTCAGTAGCTCGTATTGATGGATACCAAAAACTTGATGGTATTTTAAAAGGGTAAATTTTAAGGGTACTGCATGAACTAAAAGAATGCTCTTAAACTATACTAGTATACGTCAAGTGGCCAGTATTTTACATAAAGAAGAAACGGTAGAGATGCAGTTTTCAGAATAGTGTGTTCACTAATAATGAGGGTTAATTTGAGGCGACACATGTGTCCCATTCCCGGAAGAATCACACTATCTTGAAACCACTGTTACCTACACACTGTTACCTACCTACCTACCTACACTGTTACCTACCTATCCCTTGAGTATATTGTAGTGGGAAAGGAGGTTGTAGTCACTTCCCTGGAGAAGTGGTCTCATACTAAAGAAGAGCAAAATTAAAGTTTTGTCCCTTAAGAGGTGTGAGGAACTAATCCTGCCTCTTCCACAGTAAAAAGTAGGAATAGAAGTATAACAGGCTTAAAATAGCAGGTTTATTTCCTGACAAGGGGTTTCTACTTAGATCCAACTTAGAGTAACTCCTACCAGAAACTACTTAAAATAGCACAGGAAGTAAGTGGAGCAATTCTTTCTTTTTTGGGGTGTCTACGCTGTAGGGATTTCTAAGTAAGTGAGCCCCAATATTGTGCCCAACTTGATGAATGGTGAGTTTGCAGTCTGTAGCACTGTAGGTGCTAAGAATGAGTTGAGTGTCTGGGTAGGTCAGAATGTAATAATAGCATGAGGCTGAGGATTGGCGTGTTGGAAGGGTAAGTCTGCACAAAGAGCTTCTGGGCTCTGCAAGTTTCCCTTGAGACTCCACCTTAGTCTGTCAGTATGTTGAGGAAGCCACCTGAGATTAGGAAAAACAAAAACAAAACAAAAAAGCATAAAGGCAAAAATCCATAGACTCAAAAAATAGTTTGTATTCCCAGCAATGAAAGGAGAACCACAAAGCTTATCACTTCATGTGTGTAAAGAGTGCTTATGAAGTTTACTGCCTCAATAGAGGGAAAAGCAAAAAGATTATTTTGCATATTAGAGCTCAGAAGCAAAGCATGGGAGGAGTAAATTGTTTCTAAATTAGTACATAGTAGAGTAAAACTCAATGTTTTATGAATGAAAAAAACAAAGTCCAGCATATAAGAAAGTAAATGCAGAGCCTCTTTCCATTGAAGTACTGGTAGATCTACAGAAAGCAGGAAGATAAACCCAAGAAGAGGGCAATAAAAACGGGCCATCAAATGGCATAAAGGTGTATGAAAGGATACCAAAGTAGATGGCAGTTACTTGTTTTATTGGAAGTGATTTTATAATATGTTACAAAAGTTACACAAATGTAGAGAAGCATTGAGTCAAGCTGCCATAAATAAATGCAGTGTCATGGTGGGATTGACAGATTCAACACTGCAGAACAAACAAACTTGAGAGACATGAGAAAAAAAATCTTTAAAATTATTATGTCAGTGAGCTACATTCATGTAGTTTCAAGTCACTTAATGGTCTTGTAATTTGAGTTCCCAGAGAAGAAAAGGAAAGAAGGGGTTCAGATGAATTTTTGAAATGGTAGATGAAAATTTTGAAAATATGAAAACTATAGGGACTGGAGAGATGGCTTGGTGGCTAAAAACAACTGCTGCTCTTTCAGAGGACCCTGATTTAATTTCCAGCACCCACATGGCAGCTCACAGCTATCTGTTAATTCCAGTTCCAGGGGATCTGACACCCTTTTCTGACCTCTCTGGGCATTGCATGCTTATGGTGCACTTACATATATGCAAGCCAGACACAATGTTTTTTAGTTTAATAATAAAAAAAAAAAAACAGTGAAATCACAAGAAACATGCAGTAGATTCTGCCAAAACATACTTGAAACCAATGATACTAAAAAATTTAAAGGTGAGGCTGGAAAGATAGCAGTTAAGACCACTTGCTTCCAGAGGACTCAAGTTAGTTCGCCAGCACAATCAAGCAGCTCACAATTGCCTATAACTCCAGTTCCTGGAGATCTGATGCCTTCTGGCCTCCATAGGCACCCACATACATGGGTATCACTTTCATACAGATATAGAAAAATATAAATTAAATTTAGCAGGGTATGATGGTGCATGCCTTTAATCCTAGCCCTCAGAAGACAGAGGCAAGTGGATCGCTGTGAGATGGAGGCCAACCTGGTCTACATAGTGACTTCCAGGAGGACTGAGACCCACAAAAGAGAAGAACTTTAAAGGTAACTAGGAAAGAAAAAAACAAAAACCAGGCTTCTTAGAAACAATGTAAATCAGAAAACATTGAAACATCCATCATCTTTACTGAAAGAAAACTAGACCTAGAATTATATACCCAGCTAAAGTATATTTCAAGAACAATTGCCAGCTCTTGCTCTAAAGAAGTTGAAGTTGCTGTTTCATCCTAAATAAGTAAAAATACTGAACAGATTGAAAAAATCAGTTCTTCAATACATCAGAAAAAGTGAAATTATAGGATAAATTGCTGCCACCAAAATTAGTGACAAGTGATACAGAGACTCAACATACCAGAGCACAAATATTAGTGCTAGGGTATGAAAACCTGAAGTTTAACTGATAGTTATTAGAGGCTAGGTGTTTTTGATGGGATAAAAATTAAACAGTCATAGGGTAGCCCTGCTCTAACGGGATGTGTGTCTGTGTTTGACTACACCAGTGTGCTTTGTTCTTCATGAAAACCGCTTAGGATAAATGAGTGAACTGGAACCTAGCCTGCTGAGGTTTCATAGAGCCCGAGTGACCCATTGAAAAGGAACTAACTCCAGCCCTTTCTAGACTTTCTGTACTTAAGGAGAGAAACACACATAAACACTTGGGAAACTGGTGAGATTCACAGTCCAGAGGCTCAGGCTCATTGAAAAACTAATTGCAGGACTCTAGACTACATCTTTGCCTCCCAAACGTTATCCCCACATTACTGGAGGCCTATTTAAAGAAGTTCTTTTGGCACAGTGAATTGGGTCTGGCTGTCCAGAAAAATTTACAATGTATACTTAATGGTAAACACACAAAAGAACAAGCATTAGAACCAAATAGTACAGAAATAGGAGCCAGGCATGGTGGCACATGCCTTTAATCCCAGCACTCCAGCACTCTAGAGGCAGAGGCAGGCAAATCTCTGAGATTGAGGCCAGCCTGGTCTACATAGTGAGTTCCAGGCCAGACTGGGCTACAGGGAGACCATGTCTCAAAAAATAACCAAACAAAAAAACAAGTTTATCAGAGGATTCATGATTAATACATTAAGAATCTACTTGATAAAATAGCGTATAAGAGTAGTGTAAGTGGAAAGCTAAAAATCCCAACAAAGAGCCAAGAGAGTGAAAACAACCAGAATAAAGAGTGTCTTGTATAGGCTTCTTGTAAGCCTAAGTATTTAGCAATAAAAATGCCCAAAACTGGAATAAAAAAACAGACTGAAAATGAAGAGACTATTTGAAAGCTTTGAGATAACTATAAAAGTTACGACTTACTCATAATGAAAATACAGAGAAGATAGGAATAAACAGTAGAAGACCAATGACTTAGTATCAGAGCATATACTACAGAGCCAGGAAGGTTAGAGAACACAGCAGAAAAATGTCAAAACAAAATCTCTGTGTAGGCATGTATTCTCAAAGTACAGAAATCGGGCTGGAGAGATGACTGAGTTAAAAGGTGTGTACTGTTATTGCAGAGGGACCCAAGTTTGGTTCCTAGAACCCACATTGGGTGGGTCAAAACTGCCTGGAACTCTAGCTGTAGGGAATTTGATGACCTCTTCTGGCCTCTGGGCACCTGCACTCAGGTGTACAAATCCACACACATACATACATAATTGAAAATAAAATCTTTTAAAATGAAAGATGAAGAAAAATCCTAAAAGAAGCCGGGAGACAAAACATATTATGTATAGAGGAATTTTATATTCATCTCAAATAATGCAAGGAAAAATGAAGTTGGGGCTGGAGAGATGGTTCAGTG